ATAGACCAATCAGAAGGGAAAGGAGGGAATAAGGGAGAAATAGGAGCTGTGCTGGTTTAAAGGTAAACCAGCAGGGGAAATGAACTCAACTCAAAAGAGAGATTATAAGTCAGAATATCAATTTAATAAAATAATACAGTAAGTACAATTATACAGACAAACAAGTGGTTTTAACCCACAAAACCCAAATGTATAACCCAGCACCCTGGGGCATGAACAGAGTGGTGTTCTTTGGGCCCCCGGAGTCCAAAGTAAAAGAAGAGGGGGAAACCTGTTGGTGAGAGTGCTGTTGCAGTCTGGTCAAGAGTGGTGATTGCAGTCTGGTCGAGAGTGATGGTTGCAGTCTGGTTGAAAAGTGGTGGTTGCAGTCTGGTTGAAAAGTGGTGATCTGCAGTCCAGTAGAGAGTGGTGGTCTGCAGTCTTCCTCTGGATCCCACAAGTGGTTAAAAAAGTTCCAAGACTCCAAGATTATATATTCTCCAGTTTGCCCAGTACTTTCCTCAGGGCAGGGAGTTCCAACAAAAGGTGTGAGGACAAGAGCATCCTCCTATCTCACAGGCCTCTTAACACCCAGTTTATAGCCTGAGGAGTCAGGCTCTATGGGCAGATGGTGTAAATGGTTCATTGATAACAATTTCTGGGAAATGGCATAGAAGGCTATAGAATACAGAGTTTTGGGTTACACCCAATACAATGATGGACTGGTCTCAGATGTTCTAACTAGGACAAGACTCTTTTCAGTACCAACTGTGTAGTCCAAGACTCAGCAATTCAGTCCATCACACAACAACCGGTAAAGTATGAACTGGACACTGCTGCCACTTTAGGAGAAACCCTCAAGGCCATACAGCAGGTGAAAATTGGCAAGGCAGCTGGGGTTGATGGAATTCCACCCGAAGTCTGGAAACATGGGGGCCTTGCACTCCATACCAAATTTCACGAGTTTGTGGTGTGCTGTTGGGAACTAGGCCAACTACCATCAGACCTTGATGATGCAGTCATTGTCTCCTTGTATAAGAAGAAAGGAATTAAATCAGATTGCTCAAATTACCGGCGTATTACTCTGCTCTCCATTGCTGGCAAAATCCTGGCAAAAATACTCTTGAACAGACTAATACCCACTAGAGCAGAAGAACTTCTTCCTGAAAGCCAGTGTGGTTTCAGAGCCAACAGGAGTACCACAGACATGGGGTTTGTTCTCAGACAACTGCAAGAGAAGTGCAGGGAACACAAAGGTCTCTATGGAACCTTTGTCGACCTCACCAAGGCTTTGATACTGTGAGCAGAAAAGGTCTGTGGTAGATTTTGGAACATTTAGGTTGTCCCCCCAACTTCCTTCAAATGATCATCTCACTCCATGAGGATCAGCACAGCCAAGGCAGATATGGTGATGCACTTTCTGAACCCTTCCTAATAAAGAATGGTGTGAAACAAGGCTGCATTCTCCCTCCTACCCTTTTCACAGTCTTTTTCAGCAGGATGCTCCAAAGGGCCATGGCAGACCTCGAGGATCAGGACGGTATCTACATTCAATACTGTACTGATGGAAGCCTTTTTAACCTAAGGCGACTGAGGGCCCACACCAAGACCTTAAATCATCTTGTCCAGGAGCTGCTTTATGCTGATGATGCCGCCCTCGTCTCCCACACAGAAGCAGCTCTGCAGCGTTTGACATCCTGCTTTGCAGATGCTGCTGAGCTCTTTGGGCTGGGCGTCAGCTTAAAGAAGACAGAAGTTCTCTATCAACCTGCACCTCAGGAAGGCTTCCATCATCCCCATATCACCATTGGCCAATCAGAGCTCAAATTAGTCCAGCAGTTTAATTACCTAGGTAGCCTCATCTCCTCAGATGAGAAGATTGATGGGGAGATAGACAACAGGTTAGCAAAGGCATTGAGAGTTTTGGAACGCTTCATAAAAGAGTTTGGCAAAATAAACACCTGAAGAAAAGCACCAAGATCAGTGTTTACAGAGCCATAGTGCTGTCTACTCTCTTCTACGGATCTGAATCATGGGTCATCTACCGCCACCACCTGTGACTCCTCAAACGCTTCCATCAATGCTGTCTCCGCACAATCCTAAACATCCACTGGTCAGATGATGTGACCAATACATCTGTTCTAGAACAGGCAGCAGTCACAAGTGTTGAGGCCATGTTACTGAGAACACAGCTGCGCTGGGCAGGGCACGTCCCCAGGATGAAGGACCAACCACCGCCTCCCGAAGGTCCTGCTTTATGGTGAACTTGCCACCGGCTGCCGCAAGAGAGGAGCCCCGAAGAGGAGATACAAGGACTCCCTGAAACAACATCTCAGCCTTGGCCATATTGGTCATCATAACTGGTCTACTCTGGCCTCAAATCGGGAGGCCTGGAGACACACCATCTATAACGCAGCTGTCTCCTTCGAGAACACATGCAGGATCACTCTCGAGGAAAAAAGGCAACGCAGAAAGAACCGTGCCTTGCAGAATACACCATCTAAGGAGTCTTTCTGCTGTGCCTTTTGCAATCGGATATGTCTGTCACGTATTGGCCTCATAAGCCACCAGCGTGCCTGTAGCAAATGTGGATAGTACCTTCCCAAATCTTCGTTCGCGAAACCTAGCCATGATTACTAACAGGATAAGAGCCAAAGAGTGAGAAATAAAACAGTCTTAAAAACACCTTCCCCCCACCCCTCCTTCCCTCCATGTTCTCCCTCCTCCCTCTCAGCAGTGCAGGGGGACGGGAATGGGGGTTGCAGTCAGTTGTTGTTTCTGCTGCCGCTCAGAGAGAGGAGTTGGAGTCCTTCCCCTGCTCCCCTGGGGTCCCTCCCACAGGAGACAGTCCCTGATGAACCTCTCTGGTGTGAGTCCATCCCTCGGGCAGCAGCTCTTCCCAAGTGGGTCATTCCTCCATGGGGTCAGTCCCTCACGGATGAGCTGTCCTGGCGTGGGTCCCCCACAGGGGCCATGAGTCCTACCTGGGAAAAACCTGCAAACCTGCTCCAGCCTGGGCTTCCCTCTCCACGGGCCGCAGGTCCCTGCCAGGACCTTGTTCCATCTTGGGCCTCCCATGGGGTCACAGCCTCCTTTGGGCATCCACCTGCTCTGGAGTGGGCTTCTCCAGGGTCTGTAGGGGGATCTCT